TTTCTCATTTTCATTTTCTTCTTTCATGCCTTCTCTGTTTCATCCAAGGCAACTCTTCCATTGGTGTTCATGACCCAGCTCTTCCTCCTGTCTTTTGGGATTCCCATGAAATGTCACCGCTCCTCACATCTTCAATGGAGGCCTCCACCAGCTCTTTCCTGCTTCCAAACATGCTCAGGTCTCTCTTGGTGTCCCTTGTTCTAGTATTAATTGACCCTTCCATTTCCCCACATTTCTCAAGAAGGGGCTAACTCTATGCTGGACTTCTGGCCTCACAACATTTAACCTCAGCCTTCCAAAATCTAACTCCCACCCCAAACACTGCAGAGGCACCGACGACCTCTTCTATGCCAAATCATTTTCCCCCTCAGTCTTTTATCCACTTAAGCTCTGCTGAGTGACACCTCCATTGCCCCCTCCCCACCACCTTCTTGAGCCAATTTCCTCACCTCGCTGTGGGTCTTTCTCTTCCCTGGCTCTTCCTTCCCACCCTTTTTCACCTCCCAATCTGCAAACAAAGCTGCTTTCATTGTTTCATCTCATTCCTCTACACCGGGAATGAGCAATCTTTTCTTGCATAAAGTGAAAGAAAAAAGTTTACATATATATGAAGTATTTTAAAAGATCTGTCTGTATCTATTTATACTCCATTTAATAGAATAATATCAATTAGAAAATGCACACTACATTATGGCCCCTAAAATATAACATCAATGAAACAGAGGAAGGCTAGGCCTGTGAACCAAACTGATTCCATTTTCCCTGCAGAGGACACTTTGTTACTTTTCCAATTCTCAGTCATGAGACTCTTCAGGGCAAATGATTACCCTATGGGCTGCCCTGACAAAATAGACTGAGATAAGAGAGGAAACATATTTACTGAGTTGCAAAACCCCTCCCCAAGGCTTGTTTACTATAATTGTAAAAGTTACAGACTAACCTTAAGACCCCTTTAGGAATTCCCACCTGTGCACAAAGCATCAAGGTGACTGCTACGACCCTTCTGGGGTGACAATGATGAACACCACTGCCTACTGAGCATGCGCCCATGACACAACCAGGAAGAACAGAACGTACCTCCTCCAGTGACGCTGGCCTGCCACCCTGCCACTCCTTAACCCCTTTCCCTGAACAGCTCCCCTGGGGGGCTAGTTTTACTGTCGCTACCCCCCCTTATGCATGTCTATCTCCCCTTTAGTAAAGCATTTGCTTGCCTTACTGTTGGGTACATTGTTCATTTCTAAGACTTTGGAATCCAAGAGCCTAATTTAATCACTGGCATAAATTGGAAAGCTTTGGGCACCGGAGAGGACTCCAGCTGCAAGAGGCCAGTGGCCACTGGGACTATTTTGCTCCCATGTCTCTGCTGCTGGTAGATCTCTCCTGGAGTCCCCAGCTTAAATTCAGACAAGGCAATGCTTTATTCTCTTTACTTTTCTCTGATTTTCTGAGCCCTCTTCTGTTTGTTTGGATTGTATCTACATCCGTATAGGTGCACCCCTGAGGGCTCCTGGCTATGATTTGTTTCTGATTTTCCCAGCCCTCTTCTGTTTGATTGGACTGTGTTCACTTCTGTATAGGTGCACCCCGGAGGGCCCCCGGCTACACTTGGTTTCTGATTTTCCCAGCCCTCTTCTGTTTGGTTGAACTGTATCCACTTCTGTATAGGTGCACCCTGAAGGGCTCCTGGCTAGACTTTATTTTTCTGATTTAAATCTAGTTGATACTTTTCTTCTTTATGCTGAAAACAGTGGGAAGAACTGCTTTTATCAATCACTGTTAATGGAATAGGTTGGCCCTGCTGATTAGGACAAGGCTAAACTGGACCCCACTGCTCCTCTTTTCTCTTTGTTTCTTTGCTTGGTTAGACTAGACATTTAGTTGAGTACCGGTAATCTGAATAAACCTTCCAATCCTTGCATCAACTTTTGGACTTTCAGATCATTTGTTTAAGGCTAGAGGGCAAGCCGAGCCTGACCTGTCGGTAACATCAAGACATCATTGCAACCTAAGTAGCAACATGGAGGCAGCTTTTCAATCTTTCTTCTCGAACTTATGCCAAGGGCTGAAGTTAGGCTCACCCTTCATTTCCATTTGTAACATCAATCTTTACCATAGATTTAATTGCCTCTTCTCTGTGAGGAATTTCCAACATCTCCAGCTCTGACACTCTTCTGAAACTACAGAAACTCAATTCCATCTTCCTGCTCGTGCCTGCAATTTAGTACCTCCCAGCAGAACTCATCTTCCTCCCAGTCCCCACCGAGTCTGCTTGTCTTTTATGTTCCCCGACAAAACTATCTTCCTGGCCACTCAGCAGCTTCTATATAGAGGCAAAGAACATTACTTTACAATTGTATAGTGATAAACATGTAAGAATGGTAGCTCATGGAGTATTAAGAGAAAAAAAAAAAAGCAGGAACACAGAAATCAACAAGTCAACCTTTAAGTTTAGAAAAGACAAAAGGAAAGCCAAATAATCTTTTTTTTCTTAAATGTTGCATGACGACCTGGACTGCTAGGTCAGTTGCTTAGAGCAGTGTTGTAACACCAAGGTCAAGGGTTTGAATTCCTGTACTGGCCAGCCCCCCCCTCCAAAAAAAGTTTCATGACAAATTTGATACCATGTAAAAAGGATTCTGATAGGTTGGGAAGAATGTTACTTTTTGGTAATATTTTTAATAAGTAAAATAGCGACTGATGCTAACAGTAAGCCCTTATTAAGAGCCCTCTAGGTATCAGAAATGAATAGTGGAGCTTACATTCTGGGATTTTACAGATTATCTGGGATTTCCTCCGTTAGCACATTGATAAAAAACTTTGACCAATGTGGCAGCAACTAAAGTTGTCAGTGAAGAAATAAAAAGAAAATATTCAAGGATTTTAATGTTATCTATAAAATCACTTTGTTGGCTTTACAATTAGTAAAATTCAAGGACACCCCATGACATCAAGTTTTACTTTGACAAAAGGAGAGAGAATAATTCTAAGTTTTTCTATTAAATTTTATTTTAAAATTACATCTATAATAGTCTTAAATTTTAAGAACCAGTTAAAAAGATAGAGTCTGTAAATGGGATGTTATTTTATATAGTAACATTCATTTTCTTGTAAATTAAGCTTTCCTACCACTTTTAATTATTTTCATACTCTTCTCAAGATTCACCTTAAGACTGCCTGAATTGGTTGTCCGTGGTTTTAAACTTTAGAGGTCTTTAAAAAGTCTACAATTGAATCACTTATTAGTTGAAGACATGAAACCTATTTGACAAAAAGGTAATGCCTACATTGTGCTAAAAAATGTATATAGAATCATGTATAAGGAAAATGACAATAATGGTCCAGAGTGAGAATATGTGAGGTTTTTAATTCATTCATCCAAACTGCACTTTTGAGTGCTTACCCTGGGAATGTTCTAGGTGCTGGGAATTCAGCAGAGAACAAAGGACTATAATGTCTGCTGTCATGTAGTTTACACTCTAAAAGGAGGAAAGAGAAATTAAACAGAACAAATACATGGATGATATTGTGTATTAGAAGTGATGCCCTAAGTGCTAATTAGAAAAACAGCAGAGGAAGGGTATAGGGAGTAGGTGGTTGTAGTTAAAATTGCATGGTCTGAGAAGGGCTCACAGGGCAGATGACACTTATGCAAAGGCCTGAAAAGGAAGAGGGAGAGAGGTTATCTGCAGGAAGGATGACTAGGCACGAAAGTCAGTGTGGCTGGAGGGGGCAGGCCTGATGGAGATGCACTCAGAGAAGTCATGGGAGACAGATCCTATAGGGTTTTAAAGGTTTTTGCTAGGAGATCGATCTAGAGCAATTGGAGGGTCTTGAACAGAGGACTGACATGATTAGAAATAACCTGTAGGGGGTTGTTGTTGTTGTTTGCAGCAATGGGAAGGATATGGTTGCCACTTTCTGAGGTAAGGAAAGGCCGGGTGGTGGCAGGTTTGGGGAGGAAGATGGGTGAGTTGGTGTTGAGATGTCTGTTAGGCACCCAGGAGGAGACGCCCAGGATGTGGTCTCCTCTCTTCGCCTCTCTTTTCCCTCTCCCTTGGGATTGCAGGAGTTGGGACCCTCCCCAAGCTGCGTGCCAGCCCTCCAGTAACTCCACTGGCCGAGCCTCGCACCCTGCCGGGAGCTGTGCGCTCCGAGCAAGAGGCACATTTGAATTATCTGTCCTACCAGAGGGAGCCATTTCGTAATTATTCCAAGGCGGGTACTGGCCAGCAGTGGCCTTTAGCAGCTGATGTTGGGAGTGCGTAGTTCAAGGCAAAGGCTTGGGCTGCAGGTATGAACGTGGGGATCATCAGCTTGAGGTTGGTGTGTAAAGCCATCAGATCAGCAGAGGTGTGAATTTAGAAAAAAAACCGGTATCATGCTTGGCTCGCACGGTTGTTGTGTGAAGATCAAACTAAAGACATACATAACACACCTGGAATACAGACAGCGCTTGATGAAGCGATGCTACTATGTGTAGAAGCCCATCCCTGGACGACTTCCAGTTCAGACAGATGGGCACGCATTTTGCAGCAACCCCACACCCCAGCAAGAGGCCGAGGAAGAAGCCAGGGCCGGACGCGGGTGAGGTGACAATGCCGTCTACAGACGGCTGGGGCCTGGGTCCAGTGCTCGCATTCACCGGCGGGAGGAGGCGGCACCGGGCGGCAGCCGCGCCCTGGGCGCCGCGAGCTGGCGGCCGAGCGAACCTTCCACGGGTCCGGGATTTCCGGCCGGCGCTGGCTGTCCTTCCCGCCTGCCCTCTCCGGCCTCTAAGTTCCCGGGCGCTCGCGGCCCCCGGCGGGCCGGAGCCCGGGGCGTGGAGCGGGGCGGGGCGGGGAAAGTTGGGTCCTGGCCGCCGAGGGCTGGGCTCCGCGCTGGGGCGCCCGCCGCAGAAACCGTAAAAGGCTGGGGCGGGCGGGGCGGGTGTGGCTCTGACTGCGTGACCTGAGCCCCGTCTCGGTCCCGTCGGCTCCGGCGACCGCGGCCTCTCAGCCATGGGCGCCGTCTGGTCCGCCCTGCTGGTCGGAGGGGGTCTGGCCGGAGCGCTGTTCGTTTGGTTGCTGCGGGGCGGCCCTGGGGACGCGGAGCAGGAGGACGCCGCTCGTGAAGAGGCTGCGGCTGCGGGAGCCCATCCGGGCGGCGGCGGCGGACTGACCCCCGGATCTGCCAAGAGCGAGCTGGGCGCCAAACCAGGTACTCTCCTTCCCCGTGTCCCCAGCCCAGATCTGCCAGGGGCTGTGAAGCTCACCGGAGGCGGGAGGAAAGAAACCCACCTGGAGCTTCCTAGCAGTCCGTCCCCGCGCCCCTCGCTTCCCCGAGGAGGTCCCGGAGACGTCCAGGCCGACTCTCCAAGGGCCGCGCCCTGGCGCGTCTGCCCTCAGCGCCGCCCAGGAGGACCTGCCCTTGTCCCTCCGGCGGGGACGGGCTCCTCCGCTTGGCGGCGCCTGGTGCAGTGCGGGCGGCTGCAGCGGCGGCGCCCCTTCCCGGACCTTTGGAAGGAAAGGAAGGCTTAGGCTTAGGGGGAATCCCACAACTCTTCAGTCTCTGACCGAGCAGGAACGTTTTCTCAGTCCCAATCCAGTAGCCTCACGTCCTCCCATCCCACACCCCATGGAAGAGCTGGGTTTGGAAACGCCCGAGCTGTGAGTGCCGCTTGCCATCTGGACGCTTCTATCAGAAAGGCAAAGTTCGGGTTGGACTTTGGCTGGGAAGGTCGCGGCTGAAGCACTGGGGCCGTGCCTGGCCGCTCATTTCAGAACTACCAGCCCTGTCCCCAGACCCCCCGCCCATCCCCTGAAGAGCGCAGAGGTCTAACTCTAGGGAAGGGACTACTTAATAGGGGTACTTAAAAGGGACCCAACTCTGCTGAGTAGAATCGACATGTAGGTTTAAATCTGTACATTTTAGAAACCATATGCTAGGCAAAGAGCGAGCACTGGCAGAAAACCGTACCTTCCAGTGCCCTCCCTTGGCGAGCTGCCCATGCCTGGGCTTTGGCCTCATGGTGAAAATGACATCTGTGAACTTTATTTTTAGTTGCAGTGGTGTTCATGTGTAGTGGCATGAAAGTCTGTCCGTCTCCTTTCTGCGATTGGCTTGGGATGAATGGAGAGCTAATTTATCTTTTTCTGAAGGCCAGCCTCATGTTGAAAAGTTAGGAATTCAGAGGAATATTTGTTCACATCTCACTTCCAACCCCGCCATTAAAAAGAGACAAAATGAAACAAAAGACTGCCCCCCAGCCTAAACCTACCTGTGCTACCCGTGTGATTGTGGAGATCTCGATCTTGTAAGGGGGCTATTTGGACTACCAGTGAGGTGGCCAAGAAGGAAACCGAGCCTTTAGGGAACTTGGATTGTGTACTTTTATGAACATTTTTAAAAAACTGTGTACAATAGGAGGGGGATGCAAAGCCTTATGTTTGTTGGAGAGGTTCCTGATGCATATAGGATTGGCCTCCCCTGCCCCCACCCTACTCCCCAACTCCTGACCAATGATGCACTACTGTCCTCGTACAGTCCTCATACGGTCCCCCACAGTGAGAGCTGCAGCTGATCTGCCCACAGATCTGAGAGCCAATCCCTGTCCTGCACGCATTTCCTGGGAGTACAAGTGTACTCTTCTGGTTTGTAGAGTAGCCATGCAGCCCTTTGCCCCACAGGCTGGAGAACATTTTCTGATGATAGGAGCCAAGCCACTTGACTTGATTGCGTGCCAGTATGGCCCGGACAGTGGGAGACTGAGGACCATGACAAGGTTATGCATCTGCCCCTTCATCTTGCCACTTCATTTACTGATACTCTTGGATGTGCCTTTGTCAGATACACATGTTTATTCTTAGAGCACAGTGTTGGGAACATATTAGATAATTAAGTACTTGATTGTAATAGAAAGGGACTTGATCAACTGCAAACAGAAGTCAAGCCTTCAGTAACTAAGTATGTTTTCTTAGCCTAACTTTTTTTTATGTGAACCGCTTAGCAGTATTACATTTTTCCTTTCGTTTCTTAGAGCATCTTCAAGGAAGCAATGGATGTTTGATTTCTGAGACCAAAGACCTTGGTAACCTGCAGGAAGCAGCATGGAGACTGCAGAATCCTTCCAGGGAAGACTGTGACAATTCAAGAGAGCATGTTCATTCTGGACAGTTTCCAGACATAGAAGCTCCAGCTGCCTTGGAGATTGGTAACTCTAGGGCTTACTCTGAAGTTTCGAGAAATGAAAGCCTTGAATCTCCTTTTGGAGAATGGGGATTCCGAAAAGGAAAAGAGATACCTGCTAAAGCAGATATGTGCTTTGCAGAGAAGTTGCTTTCTAGCAATCTTCTCATGGACAGAGCTAAAGAAGTGAGCCTTGCACAATTGGACAGTCAGGCCCCAGCTCACCGTGAGGACTGGGAAATGGTGTCTAGGCACTCGTCCTGGGGGGATGTTGGTTTGGGTGGCAGTCCTGAGGTTCCAGCGTTAAACCTGAACCAGGGAATGGACTATGGCAGAAGCATTCTTGGGGAAGCAAGAGGTCGGGAAATGGATGTGAAAGCAGGAAGGGTACTAGCAATGTCTTCAGAGTCTCAGCAAGTTAGTGTCAGGTTCCAGGTCCATTATATCACAAGCACTGATATGCAATTCATTGCTGTAACTGGAGACCATGAGAGTCTTGGGAGATGGAACACTTATATCCCGCTCCACAATAGCAAGGATGGGTGGTGGTCTCATTCTGTTTTCCTGCCAGCAGATATAGTGGTGGAGTGGAAGTTTGTGTTGGTTGAGAACGGGAAAGTTACCCGCTGGGAAGAATGCAGCAATAGAGTCCTAGAGACTGGCCATGAGGATAAAATGGTTCACAAGTGGTGGGGGCTTCACTGATTCAATTTGCAAAGTACTGGAGAGGCTGTAGCAGAATGTGGAAGAGGCTAAGGTTGTGGAGCACACTGAATAATTTAAAACTAGAGATAGTCAAATTTAGCCATCAGAATTGTTTCAAGTTTGCTAGTGGCTTTTGTCCAATGTGCAGAAATATATGTATGCAGATAATGCTTCCAGTGAGCATGGACTTTTTTTTCCTGTGGCATTGATTGATGGATTGTGCTGATCTATCACTACTTTAGGGCTTGATCTTCTTGGGGAGGGCTTGGCTAAGCTTCAGGTGTGGACTGTAATCATGGAGCAGAAACTAAATAGCTGCACAGGCTTCAAGCTTGAGCCTTTGGGAGATTCTTAGACCAAGAGACTAAAATAAGCCTCATTAAAAATTTTCCTTTTGGTACAGTTGAAAAAGCTCTTTACTGCATGTACTTTTTTTTTGTTGGTGGCTGGCTGGTATGGGGAGCTAATCCTGGACCTTGGTATTGTCAGCACTGTGCTCTAACTGACTGAACTACCAGCCAACCTATATGCACATTTTATATTTAAAAATAGTTAACACCATTTGGAACTGCTATCAGCAAATATGTGGTCACAAGATGTGATTCGTAAGGATATGAGGTAATGCTCTAAGACTCCCCAATGTTTTTTGTTTGACTTTACCTGCCAAGTTTGGTTTCGAAGGTAGTGAGTCTGTCTTTGTCTTAATGATCTAAAACTGGTATGGAAACAAGGGGCCTGATCAGAGTCAGTCATCATGGAGGTCAGTCATGGGAGCAGCTTATGAGGAAAGGGAACATGAATGCAATTGGGGTGTGGGCTGGGTGAGGTGCCCTGAGTGACACCTGTAGAGGTGGGAGCCTCTGTAGGACCATCTCTTTCCTACTGCCCCTTCCATCTCTCACCAGATCTGGACAGATGGACTGTCCTACAGCAATCGTTTCCATCTGTCACCCTCTTCCCTCTCCTTTCGTACCAGCAGCTATCTTGGGTAACAAATTTATACAGGATAGTGATATAGAAGTACATCTTTGCTCTGAAAAGAAATAAACATTTAAACATTAAGTTATAAATGAACAAATAATAAAACTTGAGTTTTAATATCCTTATTAAATGTCTGAATTATTTGTCAAAATCTTAGTACCATAATAGCCTGGATGAAAATAAAATACTAGTATTTTCCTCCACTAATAACAGACACATAGAAAAAAGAAAACATCAAAAGGTACAGAAGAATGGGGCCGGCCCGGTGGCACACTCGGTAGAGTGCGGTGCTTGGGAGCGCGGTGGCGTGGCGGCGCTCCCGCCGAGGGTTCGGATCCCATATAGAGACCGGTCCGCTCACTGGTTGAGCGCGGTGTGGGCGCGACACCGAGGGTTGCGATCCCGTTACCAGTCACGAAAAAAGACAAAAAGGAAAAAAGGCCAAAGAAGAAGAAACATATGGTCACATCAATTAATTAAGAAAACACGTTTGAAAAAATACAACATCCATTCATGATAAAAACTCTCATCAAATTAACAATAGAGAGGAATGTTCACAATGAACATCTACCAAACCAAACCAAACCAAACAAAAACAAAAAGCATCTCTAACATCCTACTTAATGATAAGAAATTAGATGCTTTCCCCGTGCTTGGGAGCGCGGTGGCGTGGCGGCGCTCCCGCCGAGGGTTCGGATCCCATATAGAGACCGGTCCGCTCACTGGTTGAGCGCGGTGTGGGCGCGACACCGAGGGTTGCGATCCCGTTGCCAGTCGCGGTACGGGCGCGACACTGAGGGTTGCGATCCCGTTACCGGTCACGAAAAAAGACAAAAAGGAAAAAAAAAAAAAAGGTACAGAAGAAGACATATGCAGACTTTTTCCTCTCCCTTTGGGGAAAAGGTTTAGGATATTTCTTTTAAGATTTTACCTTTCCTTGAAGGGAAATTCAGCAAGCCTGTACTTGAAAATGAATTCTCTTATGTTAAAATAACTTTTAATAAGTGTAACATCTATTGGTGAAACAATGGTTTAATCCTGGTAACAGATAGTCTTTGCTGAGAAGAACATAAACCCAACTGGAAACAGCATTAGAAAATGCTTAAAAGAACTATGTTTGACAGTCTGGGGCTAATAGTGTTTTTATGTTAACTGCTTCATATATACTGCTTTCATATATACTGCTTAAATGCTTCATAATGAATTTTATATTGTACCAGTGAGGTCTGCAGAAGGCATTTACCATTACTGTACAGAATGCCCAAGCATTCCTATGAGGTAAAATTAAAGTTAAAACCATTTAAGTAAAAATCTCTTTAGAATTCTATCACTAGTCATTTTATTATTACCTGATTAAATTAAAAGTAATCTTTCAGCAAAGCCATTTGACTTAAGATATACAAATAATATTAAACTTTATATTTTAAAAGTTGTTATTTAAAATAGGATGTGCTTAGAGTGTTAACACTGCCACTGAGAGCAGAAATATGAGGAGTTTCTTGGTGTGCACGAGTGCCCTAGCCAGGCAGTTCGTTGTCTGCGTAGGTCAGGGCTCCTGTGTCTGCTGTAACAGAAACCTTCCATGTAAGAAGGCTGCAACACCAGAAGCCTGTTTCTTGCTCACATAACAGTCAGCAGTGGGTCTTCCTGCTGGCAGGAGGGCAGCTTTCTTCCTTGCAGAGATTCAGTCACCCAGGTTCCCTTCTGCCCTGTGGCTCTACCATCCCCGAGGACCCTCAGTGTCCTCTGCATCCAGCCCATGGAAGGGGAAATAAAGTAAGAAAAAACAGAAATTCACGTTAATACTTTTGACTTGAAATTTACACACATTGCTCTGTCCATATTCTGTTAGTGAGAATCGGTCAGGTGGCCACACTTAGATGTGAGGGGAGGTGGGAATGGGAAATAGAGCCTTTAGTGGGGCAGCTGTTTCTCAGGGACAATTCTGGACTACGGAATGGAAGCACATATTATTTTGGACAGCTAACCTTCTGCCACATTGTCCCTGATGTTTTGGCACAACTGAAACATTTTTGTGTCTGTTCTTGTCTCATTATTTTGTTCACATACAAAACTCCCTGGTTTATTAAAATCTAATTAAGGCGGACTAAATTGATTCAATCTAGAAGTTACCCACTTGCTAAAGAGTAACGACACCTTTTTCTTTCTTTCTTTATAGTTACTAATATGCAAAAAGAGAAACTTTTCTAACAATTTTGTTGGGGGGGCAACGTTTTGTTATCTGATTACCTTCACTGAGTGAAGAACAGTGAGTTCAGGGTCACAGAGGAGTCCCTAGCAGTACACTGGAGTATGTCCTTCTGTCCTTGGCATTATACCACATTTTTTACTTCCATGTGAAAGGTGTTTTTCTCCCAGTATTTTTATTTTTCTTAAGCTGAAAAAAAAAATGGCTCCACTGTCTGGGGATGAGTAAATATAATTAAAAACGTAATTATTCCAATACACTGGAATTAGCATAAACCAATACTTTATAATATATGAATATTTTCACACCTAATACCATTTGAAGTTTTATTGGTAGAGCATTCAAGAATAGTTTATTTCAAAATAGGGTTTACAGGACAGGGTATCTTAAATTTTCACATAAAAAGAAAAGTACACAGGGCACTAATTATAAGTAACACCACAATTAATTGGGCATCATCTCTCTGTTAAGAATAGGCAAGGAATGCATCATTTTAGTAACATTTTTTCCTGGTCTTTCACTTTCTGTATCCTTTTTTCTTGATTTCTGATCATTGAAGACATTGCTGAAAATGTTGATAAAACAAAGTTAAAATAGCAAAATCTACTCAGGTTTTTAATTCTATTACGTGCTTCTTAAAAGATCAGCTTGTTAATATAGAATAGATACATTCTGAGCTCAAGAAATTCTTCAAAATTGCAGTGTCGCATATGTTTGAAAAGGTTGGTGTTATGGAACAGATCTAAGAGTAAATCTTTACTCTTTCAGTTATTTCAAATTAGCGTGATAATTATTAGAAATTACACATACTAATTAAGAATAATACATCCTGACTGTGAATAATTCAGACACCTCAGAAGGGGACAAAGAGAGATGAAGGTCAGTCTCTGTCTCCACTCCTTCAATCTGCTGGAATCCCATGCCCCCTCAGAGGTCATTACTGTTAACAGTTTGGTGAATATCTAAACATATACATGTATGCATGCAAAAGTTTTCTTCTTTACACAAATGGGAATATATGGCATAAATTGCTTTGTAGCTTGCTTTTCTCACTTAACAAAATGTCAACATCTTTCCAGTTCATCTTATGTTTTGTTATGACTGCACAGTATTTCATTATACGGATGTTCCAAAATGTTAGTAAATAAATAAAAAAAGGTTGCTTCCCTGTTTTTCTTTATACGAAACAATGCTATAGTAAATACTTTTGTATATAGACTTTAGTGCATTTGCACAATCATTTTTTGTAAAATAAATTCCCAGTAGTAGAATTTCTGGGTCAAAAGGTATGTGCACTTTAAATTTTGATAATACTCCCAAAATTCTCTCCAAAACCATTTATTTTAGAATTTCCAAGAGACATCCCATTCAGACCTTGTATCCAATAAAAAGGTCTTTTTATTTTTTTAAGCTAATACAAAATGTCTTCCATGTGGATTAGTACATGGTGACATAGATCAGATAAACTCAGAAATATAAGTCAAAGTGTGAATAAAAATAGAGCCAACAAGATAATGCATATTCCTTAAAAACAAAAACAAAAACAAAACAAAACAAAAAACATCTCACAATAAACCCAGAAGCAAACATTTTTTCCTGATGTTTACATATACAGGGATCTGGGGTTATAACAAGGGACTTGAAATTTCTTTAACAACAATTTCATTAATCTCTGTGTATTAAAAAATATGTGGATTTTGGAATCAGAGATTGCAGGGATCAAGTCCCAGATCTACTACTCATTGTGTGACTTAGAATTTATTGACTGTGCTCTAATCTTCAGTTTCCTCACCTTCAAAGGCTGTAATAATAGTACCCACCTCCCAGTGTTGTGAGGATCACATGAAGGAAACATGAGTGAGGCACTGAGTACAGGGCCTGGCACATAGTTGGGAAGTGCAACTATTAATATTAATAAGATTATTTTATAAAGATTTGTTAGAAGAAAAATATTTTTCTTCATCTACCAACATATTCTCTAGGGATGGAAAGATGGAATAACAATAACTGATGTACTTCAAAATAAATTTCTCTCTGACAAAGGCTCCTGGATTCATGAAGTCATGTCTCACGCATGACAGTTCCCCCATATTCATGGTACTTGGAAGTTATGCCCAAAGAGCTGCCCATCATCTGCGGATAATAATAATTTCTTATTTGAATAACTTTAGTATTTTTAGAACTGGTTTATTTCTTTATTTTGTGATTCACTGGGTGCACAGACTCTTTTAGTACTGTACTAATTTATATCCTGCGTAAGGCTAAATATCGTTGTTTTGTTTTCTAGCTATTGATTGTAATGCTATTCTGGCAACCTTCGTATAAATGCTTGCCTACAGACATACTAGGGACAAGAAAGACAGTGTATGGGAAAGCCCCAAGTGAAAAACCACTAAAAACATGTGTTCTACTGAGGGTTGGTTAGCAGGATTATCATCCCTAATAGATTCAAGAGTACAGCAGGGCTATAGTACCCTGCCCAAGGTCACACGATTAGTTCAGGGGTTAGTCATGGTTAAGACCTTCGCATTTTGACTAAGATATCTGAATTGCTCATTTAAAATGACCTTTCAGTGGCTCTATAGATAGGAGGCTTAACCTGAAGGGAAGGTGAATATTCATATGAGCAAGGAAGACCTCTCTAAAAGTGTACACCATACCTTGATTCTTCAGCTGTAAATCTTCCACCAGAGTTTGCAAGCTTTCCAATCTGTTCTGAAGCTTCCTGCATGTTTTTCCTGTTGTTTCTACTGGTGGAGACTGTGAATCTATTAGAAAATTACTTAGATGTGACATTAAAAGTCTATTCAATATTTCCTTTTAGAAATTTTCCAATTACAGCTTAAACAACCTCTCCTTTAAAATATAGGAAAATTTAAAACACTATTTTAAAATAAAGAAAAAAAATATGCCTTATCTAAATATTGCAATACTAGCTTATATGATTTTGTTTCAAACCCATCTGATTTACTATTATTTAACTACACAGTATTAAATGGGATGAGTGAGAAGAATACTTCAAGTTTAGTGATACATCCTGCATAATGAACACTACCTTTTCATACCAAACCCGAGTAGTTCCATAAACAGGGTTTGGGGAGCAAGATCAAATAGTGACAATGTCATCATTTTTGAAGGTATGAGGCCAGTGCCCATGTTCGTTGCTGCCTCCTGAACGAGGATGGCATTATATAATGAGAAAGGGCAGTACGGATGCTGACATGGCCACAGTGAACTAAGAACAAATGTGGCAGTAGCAACTGAGGGGGGCTTAGAGGCATGTAAGCTAGTCTCTAATAAATATGCTAAGTTTCGTCAGCCTCTAAAAATACTTGATTGGCAATTTGAAAATTTAAATTTTGATCTGAGCCCCTGACTAGATGTATAATCTTAAGAATATTTTTGATGGCTCATTTTCCTATTAAAAAGTACCTTTTCATTACAGTTATTAGTATTAAAGGCAAATATCTAGGAATTACTTTAGTTCAAGAGGATGAGAAACAGTTCCTTAGAGAGATTTTTAATATAATTAATATAAAATGTTTAATGAGTATCTGACAATAAAGGAGAAAAAAGAAAATGCCATGCTATTATGTAACATAAATTTATAATAAAGTGACAAGGAGCATTGTTCTACTTCTGCAATATTTACTACTCTAATAGGTAAATAATTTGATACTTTAAATTTTTAAAAATACTAAATGAATAGCTTAGAAACATAAGAGATGAAAGAGGAAACAAATACAGAAAAAAAGATAGTAAAAAAGAAAATGTTCATGATTAGGTATTTTTTTTTACAATCTAGAAATGTATAAGGCATGGAATTTCAAAAGACTAAGAACTGACTTGACCATGATGTAACAACTTGCCTAGTTTACCTACCCTATCAAAGGGAATGATGCCATAGAGCACTGGGGCTGTTTGGTCATTGTCACACATGATGAGAAACATTTCAAGCTCTATACAACCCATATATATTTAACACCCACTTATTTATCAGGCACTTACTCTAAATCAAACCATTTTTCTCACTTGTCTTATCAAATAACAAATTAACTTAAAATTTTAAAAATGAGATAATTTTGACAAGTTTATATGGTAAACATTTTTACTTACAAAGGCAGAGACTGAAGGAAAGCCATGATTTTAAATAATTTAATAAGAAAGAAAAGTCAGTCACAGCATTTTAAAGACCAAAAATTTCATAATAAAATAGAGCAAAAAAAGTTCATTATTTATGTCAGAGAAAAATAGAGATAATATGAGGGTACTTCACAAAGTGCTTGGAAAAACAGAATTAAAAGATAATACGAATCCTTCCACGAACTTTGTGAAGTTCCCTTGTATTTATATATAATATTTATGTATATTTACTAAAGCTTGCACATAGGTACACAGTAGCTATTCTATTTAAATAAAACCCACCTAAGTTACACTGCATCAATAGGAGCTTGTATATAAGAACAGCATGCAAAATCTTATTAATTCTGAGTATGGAAAATAACTTGCAATTCACTAGAGTAAGAAATCAGTTAATGCCATCAGTGATATCAGATCATTCTTACCTTTAACAGAATCAGGTGAATGAACTGTTTTGGTGGATCTATACTGTGATGTGGAACCTATTGAATCAACCGAACTAGTTAGAAGAGAGTGCACTGGAGACTTCTTAGGAGAAGAATTGAATGAACGAGAAGCTGAGTTTTTCACAGATGGACTTGCTAAAAATTTGCAAGAAAAAAGTAAAAGGACAGAATTAATTAAAAGTAGTATACTGCATCTCTCAAAAAATTAAACTTTCATGAGAAAATGTTCCCAATGATGGGGGGAAGAGGGGATATTCTGGTAAATACCCAAGGTTTTGGGTTAGAGCTGAAAAGGGCTATGCAATGAAAAGGGCTATGCCTTAGGAACAATGGATGAAAAGGAACTAGACCTACCCTTAGGGATCCTGAGATCTAGCTTCAAATCATCTTAATTCTTGATTTGACTATATCAATCTGGGATTGCCAGTGTCCTTAGTTGTCTACTAAAAGCAAGCATAAATGCTCTCTGGAGGAAGGTAACCTCATTCTAAGCACCAAATCATCTGTGAAATTTTTCCTATATAATGTGTCATACAATGAAAATAACCAGGCATATGAGGAGAAAAGATGATATGCTAGAAAACTAAGAGGAAAAAAAAATACAGATAATAGATATAGATCCACAGGGTTCAGATAATGGGGTTATCAGACAGACTTCCACAGATTCAAGCAGTATTACTCCAAACCGCGAAGGGGTTGTTCTTTTTTTTTTTTTCCTTTTTTTTTTGTCTTTTTTCGTGACCGGCAACGGATCGCAACCCTCAGTGTCGCGCCCGTACCGGACCGGGACTGGCTACGGGATCGCAACCCTTGGTGTTGCTCCCGCACCTCGCTCAGCCAGTGAGCGGCCGGTCTGTATGTGGGATCTGAACCCTTGGCGGGAGCGCTGCCACGCTTCCCAAGTGGTTCACTGTAGCAGTGCGCCACCGGGCCGGCCCCGGGGGGGTGGGGGTGGGTGTTGTTCTTTTATAAAGAAAATCATGCATGTACATATCAATAAGAACTGCTAAAATGAAAAACAAAACAAAGAAAAACAATCTTAAAGCTGCTAGAAGGGGAAAAAAGGGCAGATTACATTTAAATGAGCAACAATTAAACTTATAGCTGACTTCTTAATAAAAACAATGGAAGCCAGGACACAAAGGAAAGATATCTTCAAAGGGAAGGAAAAAATGCCAACCTAGAATTCTATACCCAGGAAAAATATTCTTCAGAAATGAGAATAAGAAACACAATTTTGGAAAAACAGAAATTGAGAGAAATCACCAGCAGAAGACTTACATTAAAGGAAACATTAAAGGCGTGAGTAAAATGATAATGGATAGAAAGTTAAGTATAAATATGTGCATATATCTAAGTGAAAATTAACTGTACAAAACAATACAAATAATCTATTGTGGTATTTATATCTGTAATTTATATTTATAATTAAAATACATGACAATTGTACAAAAGTTGGGAGGATAGTGGAGTTAACATGTTCTAAGTTATAATGTATGAGAAAAGGTAAAAACACTCATTTATATTAGTCTAATAAGGTGAAAATATATGTTGTATTGTCCTGGCCAATTATTAAAACAGTAGTAAAAAACACATAAATGAAGTAAACCTGAAGGAATTGTTTCACTTTATATAAATGTTCCTTTTGTCAAAATATTAGTTCCAAAAAGATTTCTCCCAAGTCAAGGATTATTAAAAAATTTAGAATTTGAATTAATTTTACTTAAGAATATTATGTTTTGATTTTAGATCTATATTGACACTCTACTATACAAGAAGAAATCTGGAAACATCTTTCTCCCATCTCTTCACCCTACCTCAATTTTCCCTATTTATATTATTACTGTCCAGATTTATAACTACATTTTTGTTGAATCTTTTACACAGTTTCATTCCTTCTCATTTATTTTGTTCTCTTCCATAGGTAGACCAATTATATGTCTGTTGGTTTGCCTTTGCCTTCCAAACCTAACATATTCTCTAAAATTATTTTTTGTCTTTTTTAGCTTTAATTAATTAATTAATTAATTAATTAATTAATTTTGGGTGGCTGGTTAGTACAGGGATCAAACCCTGGACCTTGGTACTATCAGCACCACACTCTAACCAAATGAGCTACGCGGCCAGCCCCCCTTCATCTAAAAATTCCTTTTGTGTAATTTTCTCTATGGCCATGATTTCAGTCATACCTATTTTCTTTTTTATTTTATTTGTTTATTTTTTTGGTGGCTGGCCAGTAAGCCTTGATCTTGGTGCTATCAACATCACACTCTAACCAACTGGGCTAATGGGCCAGCCATATTTTTTATTTTTTAAGGTTTTTCCCTGTAATGTTTTCTGTTTCTTTCTTTCTTTCTTTTTTTTTTTTGGCAGCTGGCCAGTATAGGAATCTGAACCCTGACCTTGGTGTTATAATACCGTGCTCTAACCAATTGAGCTAACCAGCCAACCCCTGTAATGTTTTTATTTTTCTCTTCTATTGCCAGTCTGAGTTATGCCAATTTGCTTTTCAACAGATTCTTCTGTCTTTCAATCTTTTCCTTCAGGAGCTGGTTTTTATAGAGATAATTTTATCTATAATTCCTTGGAAATTATATGGAGAACCATTTGTCTTGATTCTTCTCCTTTCCTTTCATTCATTTAATATTTATTGAGCATCTGCTATGTGCCAGGAAAGTTCTAGGTACCTAAGATACATCAGGGAACAATTAAGATATCTGCCCCTGCAGCTTTTGTCTAGTGGGGGTAACATGACACACAATGAACAACATAAATTAGTAAGTTATACAGTATGTTAAAAGATGATAAGTGTTATTTAAAAAAAGAAAAAAGCAAGGGGGACTGGAAGTGTGGAAAGGTTGTGATTTTTAAACAAGGAGGTGAGAAATTAAGTCTCAGTGGGAAAGAGACATCTGAGCAAAGCCTTTAAAGGCAGGAGGGAGTTAGTAATGTGGAGAGAAGAGTGGATATAAAAGCCCTAACATGGAAGCTACTTGGCATGGAAGGAACAGTTCAGGGGTGGATAAAGCAGAATGAATATAGGAGGGAGTAGTAAGAAATGATACTAGAGAGTTAACGGGGACTTACAGGCTACTGTAATGGTTTTTACTCTCATGGAAGTGGGAGCCACTGCAGGGTTTTAAGCAGCTCCATTTCTGTGCTTTTATTGACAACTCACCTGTACATGGGAATGTGAAGCAACTAGATGGATCTTCCAGGTCTCCAGCACGTAATGTGACTGGCTCTCTGGAAGCATAAGAATGGTAATACGAGCATTCTATTTCATAACCACAGCACTAAGATTTATAGACAAAAGGAAGCTAACACAGGCAAATGTGATGGCTTAAAATATAAACTCTAGATGGCAATCATAACCCTTAACCACAGAAGTCTTAAAATACCCTAAGAGAGATTCAAATCTTTTTATATTCAGTATCCATGAACATTTTGCAGGATGAAAATATAATAATATATAACCTTGGGTAAAAAATTCATTTTGTGTAATAACAGCAATAAAACCCAAATCACTTTTTTCATGAATTCTAAGAGATGTAATCTTAATGACTCATTTAAAAATGAAGAAACTGAAGACAATAATAAAAAACAAAACAAAACAAAAAACCTCTCTTAGCATTAGTAGTATCAGTTTACAAAACTGTAAGACTTGAGCAAGCCAATATGTTGAAATAAACCACATAGTTCTCTGTGGTTTGGGTACCAGTATGAGAATATTATGGCAGCAGTTCTCAAGGTGGCTCTCTTTCAAGAGATTTATGAGGTCAGAATTCTTTTCATTATAATACTAATATGTTATTTGCTCTTTAGTTCTCAGTCTCTCACAAGTGTACAGGGGGTAATTCCCCAGAGTCTACATGATAGTTAATATCACAACAGATCAGATGCATATGTAGATATGAGAATCCAACTATTCTTTATTAAGTCAGTCATTAGATTGTAAAACAATGCCTTCTCAATGATTTTTTTTGGAGAATACAGTTACTTTTTCATAATATAATATAGTATTATAATAACTTCATTGCTGAGGGAGCAGATTTTCCTAGTCATGGGGAAACCCTATAGCAGAACTTTAGTTATTGCAGGGAAGTAGCTCCTCTCTGCCCCATGCCTAGGATTGGGCACTTTCCCAGGTACTCAGAGGTAGTACACAGTACTGGTCACTAGCATGAGCTCAGGAGCAGCTAGACCTGAGTTCAAATCTGAACTCCACTGTTTACAAACTATATGATCTTGGTAAGTTGCTTAAGCAATCTGAGTCTTCATTTCGAAACTATATATAGGAAAATAATGCCTGCCTCATTGATTAGGCTAGACTAAATGAGATAAGTCTAAAACAACCAGAAAATAGTGAGAATAAAAATATGCATAGATAGTTGTAGTTATTAATAGGTACAATGTAGTGTTATACATCCAGATGAGAAGAAAATCAAAACATTGTTTTTCTTAGGATGTGAGTTTCTTTTCCTTTTTTTTTGGCTGCTGGGTGGTACAGTGATTGAACCCTGGATTTTGGTGTTATCAGCAACATGTTCTAACCAACTGAGCTAACCGGTCGGCCCCAAGAAAGTTCCAAGTTTACTGTATTTTGATCAAGTAGCAGAGACCATGAGACAATATTTATAGTACTGTCTTAATTCATTCACTAAACAAATATTTACCATATGGCCATTAGGTGGCAGGCATTATGCTTAGTGCTGTGGCAATGTATAAACCCCTACACCTAAATGGAATTTAAAAAGCAGAATCCATTTTCATATTCTTAAGGTAAACAGAGGGCTCAGAAATCTCTACTTTTTATAGGTGGTGAAAATAAAAAAGATAAAAATAAGTCTTTTTCCAAGCAGTCAATAAACAGACCTTATGATGGTAAGCAACTTGAGAACAGGGCCCAGGTTTGTCTTGCTCACTGTCATATTCTAAGAGCCTAGTACATGTGTGGCACTTTATGAACAGTTAACAATCTTCTGAAATAATGAGTGAATAGTAGTAAAAAGGACATTTTGAAAATTGGGGGCTGGTACGATAATTTCTTACCTGCTCAGAGTTTCACTTGATTTGCTACCTTCAGTGGACTCCCTTAGTGAGTGGTTGCTTCTGTTGGTAGAGGAATGGGAGAAATTAAAAACTACACAATGTTATTTCCTTACCAATGCAATGAAAGTTTGTGAGAGAAATAATTTATTCTTATAAAGGATGAAATCGTTTCATCTGATGGCTAGCTAGATAGATCATAAGCATTAACTTAATGATAAAAAAAAAAACCGGTTCCTCGGAACATTAGTTTTAGATAGACACAGATTCAAGAGTAAGACTGGGGCACTGGCTCTTTCAAGAGGAGGAAACAGTACGGAGAAAAGCTGGAGGACAAAAAGAAATGATCTTCTAGAAATCAGCAGTCTGGTTTGATTTGATAAGAGCATAATTAGTTATAGGAGTAAAAGCATAGTGGTGACAATTTAGGGAGATTCTTCAATGTCAGACTGAGGGACCATATACCTAATGCAGCAATGACTTCTGTGTCTCATATGAATAACAAATTAATATTAGACTTTTTTCTTTTTGGCTAGTCAATTCCTGGAAGTTGATTGGGGTCTTATTTGAGATTATGTATTTTATTTCTTTATGCTCCTTTTTATGATTTCATTTAAAAATGCAACTATTCAATCACTAATGAAAATAGGATTATTTTCAATGTTTTTATAATCCTGTATCGAGGTTGTTATAATTTTGTTCCAGACCACCCTTTTCTCAAAAGTTACATAAGCCATTGTAAATATATACAAATATAGAAAAAGTCTTCCATTTTTGGTATGGTATACCATATAAATAGCTTCATATTGGTAAACATCAGCAAAACTTAAAATAAGCAAAAAAAATGCCTATTAAATAGATTTCTAGAAAGCAAATTACTTTAGTACATTTCATTGAAATCCTTTTTAGAGTCATTTAAACAACGTAAAAACTTTCCTTTGAAAAACCCAATATGCCCATTAAATGCCATGTAGACTGTCCAAACAGACTTTCCCAATTACCAGGCCAAATATGAAATTCTTGGACAATTAATTAGATTCAGAATCTCAGATTCTTCTTACCTACGGCATATGTCTGATCTCAGGCTTGATTCAGTGATGCAATCTCTTACTCTATCATCTCTGTATAGACAAATATAACTCCCAGTTAATTATATAAAGAACAATTTCCAGATTCCATATCTTTTTAGAAAAATAAATTGCTCACATGTATTTAAATTTTCTTTAAGGTACAACTGTAGACTTTAGGCCTCCAAGCAAATTTTGCAAAGAGCCACCTCTGGAGTTCATCAACTCAAAAATGCTTTCCTTGGGCCGGCCCGGTGGCGCACTGCTACAGTGCGCCGCTTGAGAGTGCGGCAGCGCTCCCACCGAGGGTTCGGATCCCACATACAGACCGGTTCCCGCTCACTGGCTGAGCGAGGTGTGGGCGCAACACCGAGGGTTGCGATCCCGTTGCCGGTCCAGTCCGGTACAGGTGCGACACTGAGGGTTGCGATCCGTTGCCGGACACGAAAAAAGACAAAAAGGAAAAAAAAAAAAAATGCTTTCCTTTCATGAACTCTTAAAGGCTTTAGGCTCAGTTTAGGCTTTGGTGACAATGTCATTTGTAGGATTACAGCAAATTAACATAAGCTTTCTAAAGGCAGGGGCCAAACATATTCATGTTTGATACAGTCCAGTACAGTTCAAGCCCATAGGCTTGACTGATGGAGCCTAATCAGGGAGCCATGGTGATCCTACACAATGATTAGTGCCAGGAGCCAGAGCCCTAACTGCCTCTGCCTCTTTGCTTCACAGGAGGAGGCATGCCAATCTATGCCTAAGTTTACTCATCTATCTGTCAAAGGAGTTTAATAATACCGCTCTGGCTTAGAAGCATTTTATAGTTATGACAAAAATGAAAGTGCCATGAACATGAAATATTCTTTGATGGGGTGGCCAATAGAACATTTCTGACATTATGTGATTCAGATAATTCAATATCATGCTAAGAGAGACTGGGCTGTTACTAATATTTACTATTTTTCTAATAATATTAATAACTGTTAGATAAATCCAGCTAATAGTTTGGTACCTCGGGTTAATACATACTAATTGAACATCTTAAGGAACTGGAGATTGTTTACATATAGGCATTATTTCAGAAAATATTACTCTTAATATTTGCCATATAACCAGAAAATGACTATTTAAACAATGGGTTATTATAAAACTAAAAATATATAGTCATTCACAGTTGTTTAATGACGAGGATACATTCTGAGAAATGCATTGTTAGGCAATTTCATCATTGCGCGAACATCACAGAGTTCACTTACACAAACCTAGATGGCCTACTATACACCTAGGCTATATGGTATAGCCACCTCAATCTTACAGGACCACTGTTGTATATGTGGTCTGTCACTGACCAAAATGTTATGCAGCATATGACTGTACATGCCACATTAAAATGCTCTAACATAAACTAATCTAAATGACAACACAATAAAATTAAAAATCACTATTTGAAAAGAACATGAGAATCTCATTTATTTCTGCAACTATATATAGGGAAGAACTGGTGAACTGACTTAATCTTTTTTAGATCTGACCTTTTAAAATCTGATTTATCAATGGCATGAATACGTAGAGAACTAAGGTCTTTCCTATTAGCTTATACCTCGAGTGTTACATAGTTCTCAGGGTTCTAGTTTTAGTTGCACCACTGAATTGTGTGGCTGTAAGAAAGTCAACCTCTTGAGACTTTTGGGTTTTTTTCATTTGTAAAATGGGATAAATAATCCCTGCCCTTCTTTGTTTCCACTGGTTGTTTACGATATTCAAATAAGATTATGGATGCGAAATCTGTTAGAAATTACACTTTCTATACAAATATAACTAAACGTCTTGCACTGTACTTTCTGAACAGAATGGCTGCATTATTTTCTCTTGATGTCAAGTTGTGTTACTTTTGCTTAACTCCGCCACTTTCATATCGCTTTCCCTGGTAACTTCAGGTATGCTTCAGTTATTTAAACCTCAGTCTCCCAGAGAGTAACATGTGGACAACTTAACAGCAAACCACTCATGAGATGAGCTTTCCAATTCTGAGTGCACGCAGTCCTACACATAAGTCCTTCACGTACAAGGCTCCTATAGATGGTGTTCTCCCATCCTCCTCTGTCTTGCTCAGAGGCACACCTGGCTCCTCATTGATCACACTTCTCAACTCTTGAAGAAGCTGTTTCAGGTCCCTTGTTGGATCTTCCTTCAGTGGGTTAGCTTTCATAGAGTGCTGAATTAAAACGATTTACAAAACAAAGACACTTATTTTTCAAATTCATATGCTATTTTCTATTACAAAATGAATTCAACTGGTAAGTAGAAATTATGAAAGAGCAAGTAGAGAAAAACAGAAATCACCCATAACCTTACTACACAGGGATAATCAATAATAACCAATCAAAAATCAAGACAGTATTATATCTAATTTATACATGATGTGCGTACATGTATGTGTGTATAACCACACATATATAAGATCAAACCATACACATTTGTTTTTAAACTTTTTTTTAGTTTTTTTCTTTTAACAATGTAGTATGAACATTCCCATGTCATTAAATATTTTCAACTACATCTGAGCAAAATAATTTCAATCCTTTGGGGCTAAACTAATTTTATAAAGCTGCAGAAGTTTAAAAGTAAAGAACTCTTTAGAGATGAGTTAATCCATTCCCCACATTTTACTGATGACATCTAATATTTTCAAACTGTGTTAGTTGATATTTGAAAATAGTGTAAGAAGATTTTCAGATTGATATATAGTGTTCCCTAGTGAATATTTATAGTATACTAAGAAGTACAGACATTCCCAATAGGCACCATCAGGAGGGGAAACCAAATGAGAGTCAGAAGTTGCCCTGGTGAGCAGGAGGGCTCAGTGTATCATCAAGCTATTCTAGCTGGAGGTGTCCACCCCACTGTAGAGTCACATTGGCCACACAGATTGGTTGCTAAGGGATGAACACTGCAAATTTCTGGTTCTTTAAGCTTTACTTTTCCAGGATCCGTGCCAAGGCAGAACTCATGTTACTGGTATAACTTTCACATACCTCTCTTCACACCCCTACTGATAAACTATGTATAAATACCTAGCTGAAGATAACAAGAGTTCTGACGAACTGAATGTGTAGTAAGTATGGTCTTTCCAGTTTACTGATGGTCATCTTGCCTGGAAATTGTCATGATGAGTCTAAGGTTTCATAAATTAGACTCTATTGAATTATTAAATTTGACTCCATCCATTAAAGGTGCAAACCATTTTCTTTTTTTAAAATGTGGAATGCTTCATGAATTTGTGTGTCATCCTAGTGCAGAGCCATGCTAATGTTCTCTGTATCATTCCAATCTTAGCATACACGCTGTTGAAGCAAGCACCAGTTTCTTAATCATGAATAAAAACATTTGTCTCTAAGAAGGTGATACAATTTTACCAAACACTGGTTTTGTTCTTGTCCTAGCCTTAGTATGCATAACATCTGAGGTGAAATAAAACTTCATAAACTTGATTAAAAACCCTATTGCAGTCTTTAGTCCCCATAGTTCTAAATTGGACTTCATATCTTCCTATCTTCTGCCCACTAGAAAATTTATTTAATAAGCTTTGGCAATTATTAAAATTTTTAAGTCCTTGACATTTATTATAAATGGTTAATACAATAGCCTATAAACATATAAATATGGTTTTTTCTCCCTATCATCCTGGCAGCCAGTTTCTTTAAAAGTGACCAATGCTTTACAAGACAAAAGGTTTTAAAAAGAATTCAGTTCTACCATTGACTTAGCAATTAACCATCACCAGTCTTATGACATTCTTTTATTCACTTCATCCTAACACTTGTCTTTCAAACTTCTGGAGTGTGTGTTCTTCCTGCAATTAAAATGTAAGCTACACAGCGGCAAAGACATAGTTTGACCAGCATCACCATCATCTTTATACGCTCCATTACATATAATCCGTACTTTGCTTGGGTATAAAATCACAAAAGTACCAAGGCTGAAGAGTTCTGAAGATCACCTAGTTCTAGCCCAACTCCCAGTCAGAAGTGATGAATTTTCTCTACGGCATCCCAGCAATATGTTTATATGGCCTTTGCTTGATCACCAAAGACCAAGGAAAGTGGCTTAATTTTTATGTAGCTTTAATCCTTTGAAAGAAAGCCTTACTAAACTGAATCTCCCTCCATACATCTTCCATCCCTGGCTGTAGTTCTACTCCCGAGGGACATAGGGAGCAAGTCTGATATGATAATGCTTTAGAAAGGAATACTTAGGTTATCATTCCCCTCTGCCCCCGCCTTTCCGACACACACCTCAGGCTAAACCTTCTCAATCTGTCTACTCTTTTCAAAAGGCATGGGCTCATGTTCTCTTATCACTCTGGTTGTGTTTTTAAAAACAACATCAGCAAAAAAACCCACAAAAAACCCAACTCTGGTTAATTAATGATTCTCTTAAATTCTGATACCCCAAAATGAAAGAGAGTATTCAGGAAGAGTCTAAACAGAATAGAGTAGAACTGTCCCCCCCCCCACCTTCCTTCATCTGGATAGTATCTCTAAAACCTTTTCTGGCTGCCACATAATATTGCTGCCTCAGACTGAGCAGGAAGTCAGCTAAGGTTCCCTGTCTTTCCCACAGGTTATTAATAAGCCTCATCTCCCATGTCCTATATCTTGTATTTTTGGGTGTTCACCATAGTGGAGAATGCTTCGAGACTCATTCTTCATCTGTAATAATGAGGGAGATAACTCTTATTTTGCAAAGATGGTATAAGAAGTGAGAAGTACTTAATGTGTGCAAAGTAAGTATTCAAGAAAGATTGGTTTCCACCTCCTCTCCCCTTAGTATAAAAACATATAAAACACTTTATGTGCTTCACATTTACTAACATAGGACCACCAGAAATTATCAGGGTTAATTTTGCATTCTATCAGCTATGCTCTCCTTGATATAAGTAGAGGTATTTTCTGTTTCCTATATCTTTTTTTTTTAAGCTGCAGAGAAAAAAATTACACAAACACAGTCAAAAACTTATCTCTTTTTTTTCTTCCAAATAGTTTGTTGAACAACTCCATGCAAAGGAGGGATATGCTCAACATATCCTTTTTCTGTGGACCTCTCTGCTATACAGACAGGAAAACATTCACTTTATGTTTTATACAACATCTTCAACTCTGACATTCAAATAAGGCAATACATTGACTCTAGCATTGAGTCTGCTATGAGCCTTCAGGAAGAGAATTTTCTTTCTCTCTTTAGTTTTCTGAGGAAGGTTAGTACAAGTGAGCCAGGTGAGGAAATAACAGGAAGAGGTTTTTAGCAGTGGCCAAAGTTTTCTAGAGGCACTGATTAAATCTCAGAAAATTAAATATTTAAACATTGAGCAAAATAAACAACAAACAGTATAAATAGGAGTAAAGTACAGAGCCTGAAAATTATAACAGTAAATTTTATAACTACCTACCACTTAAAGAAAGTATTTCTTTTCTATAACTGTGCTCAAATAAAGTATTAGTTCTATTATTTAAAAAGTATAATTACTTTTCTATGCAACTACATTATTTTTAACTAAAGAAAAGGTAAACCTGACATAGTTATAACATATGTTAACCATTTAACAAATAAATATTTGTTAAGCCATTTATATATACACACACATATCCTGTTCTATGTAAAGGATTTTGCTACATGCTAAGGTATAGGAATTATCTCCAGATGCCATGCATATTTAGTTCAAACGGAGGAATCTGGAGGCTGTGACAGGTCCTCTAAAGCGTGGAACTAAAACAGTTAGTATAATATATCTACAAACACTACTCTCAGGTATCAATAAACTTTACAGAATGTGATTCCACAGGGGTATCTTGTGCAGAAAGATCTCCAAGAAATATTAAATGTAAAAAAAAGCAAGTTGCGAACCAATATGTATAGTATGACTCCATTTATATTAAAATCTATATATTTATTTATTTAACTACTTTTACATTGAGAATGTTTATATATTGTTACTCTACCCAAAATATAGGAAAGTGGTTACTTCTTGGGGGATGAGATGGGGAGGAACACAGGGGTTAAGTTACTGGTGATGTTCTAGTTGTTGGGCTGAAAAATGTGTTCAGTTGTGTTCATTGTTATTTTAAACAAACAAAACCGACAATTAAATAAATAAAGGTAGGTAAGGATCACCAATGAGACTGTGTCATACACCAATGACTAATCCAATTTTGTAAAAGTTGAATGTATGGACCAAAAGTTTTCTTTAATATAAACTTAGCAGGAAGCTGTCTGGTTAGCTCACTTGGTTAGAGCATGGTGCTGATAACACCAAGGTCAAGGGTTTGGATCCCTGTCCTGGGGAGCCACCAAAAAATACATATATACACACACATACACACATATATATAAACATATACACATAAACATATATATATATATACACACACACACACACACATAAACATATATATATATATATAAACATACAAGAGGACAGAGAAAGGACATGTAAATTATTTGGGAACACTTGAGCAGCATGATATAGCATGGGATTAGAATCAAACAGACATGAGCACTAATCTTGGCTCCTCTGCTTACTCAGCTGTGGGACCCTGGGCAATTTTACCTCTCTGAGTGCCCACTTCCTCATTTGAAAAATGGAGACAATACACTCTATCTTTCTGGATTATTAGAAATAATTACTTTAAAATTATTGCTACTTTAGAAATAATACACATAAAACAAATGACCCATAGTCAGTATTAAATCAATAACAGCTATTTAAAAAATCAAGACAGAATTCATGTTGTTGAAATATGAATATAATTTTGAATTTCCAATTTGACAAATTAAAAAAGAGAATTCTTATAGAGACCAAGGCATTAAATGAAATTATACCATGCAAGAGAATATTTCTGAAGAAATAATTGCCTAATAGATAATAGTTTATAGAAAACAAATTTAAAGGGTCATTATAAAAAAAATCGCTCATTCTTTTCTGTACATATGCTTTCTTCTGATTATAAAGGCATTACAATTTCATTTCTAAATGTTGTTTAAATACATGATTTTAAGAAACCCTACATGCCAAAAGATAAACACTGTTAACATTTTGATGTGTTTGCCTCCTGTTTTTTTGCAGTGTATAACTTTATAGAATGAGTTGAAAGGACTGTTTCAGGTTTGGAAGGCTTCAGTGAAGGAGGGGTGTTTCTTTTCCTTTTTTCCTTACTC